TGTTTTCCTAATTTTTTTTAATGAAACAAGCAGTTTTGAGGCTTGAATTGAGGAACTAATTAAACTGAAAAAAAATGTAAGGAAAAGCTTACGTTGAGGTTCCTATTGTTACCATTGTGCAGAAGAGCAGAGCTTATGGTTATGGATAATTGCATGTACTACCATTATGAGGCATGGTGCTTTGTTCAATGAGCAGTAGCTTTGCAAATGCTAGTGCAGTAAAGTTTTTTCTCTGTCTCGTTGCATACAGTCTTTTAATTGTACAAAATAACTAGTCATAGTTAAATACCAACAGACCTTACTCAAAATCACAGACTTTTGAAAATCAACTTCAAATAAATGAGCACATTTCACTAATAATATTAAATTCATTGTGTCACAGATTAAATCATTTAGGAGATTTTACATGATTTATTCAGGTAGATTCCATTAAATAATCAAGCCTTAAAAACTACTCAAAAATATTAAGTGTAATATTGTTACCATAATTTTTTAAGTAGATAACAAAATTTTTAAGTGACATTTTTATATGTGCCAGTAGTCCTTGAAAAAAATACATTGAGATTTTTTATATTAATATTTAATATTAATTTAATTAATAGTGTTAAAATGGCCCCAGTAACACGTCAGTGTACTAGTTATCAGTCATGTATTAATATTTAATATTAATTTAATCAATAGTGTTAAAATTGCCCCATGTAACACTTCAGTATACTAGTTATCAGTCATTGTTTCCTTTCAGTTATTGCAGTATCAACGACATACAATTTTAGTTTTATTAATATTTTAGATTGGATTTTATTTCTATAGCTTGTTTTAATTTTGAAGGTACAGTAACCATATTACTGTATTACATTTTGATTAGCTCAGCATGAAAAGAGCTTTGACAAACCACAACAGACTAAAGGCTGTAATAAAGCAAAAGGTGGTTCAACAAAATACTGACACAAGGGGGTGATCCTTTTTCCAACTCAGTGATTGTTTTTATTTATTTCTGACATGGTGTTATATTTTTCATTTGGATGTTATAAGTTGAACTGAGTAAATACAGCTGGATAAAACAAAAACGGTCTTCATATCAATAAGCAAAATGTGATTATTTTAAAGGTGGTGATTCTTTTCTATAACCACTGTATGTATGTGTATATATATATTTATACAGTAAGTTATTTCTTAAAATATTTTAGTTCAGAATTATATTTAAAGCACAAAGGGGACATATATTTATCATCTGAAATGGATTAAATCTTTATTACACAACCATGTTGATCAGCTAATAATGTATAGCAACAAAATATTAAATATCTTCAAGATTTAATCTTTTAATTCAGGGATACAATTTCTATTTCATAACTAGTATTGTATTTCATAACTAATGACCAGATAATAGCATATGTTATTCATGTTCATTTTTACCTACTGATGAAATACATACACATGTACAGTCAAATGCATCAAAACTTTAGATAAAAAAAAAAAAGTTTCATACCTCAAAATATGTTTTACTTTCACACAACGTTTTGTTTGTTTTTTTCCAGTTTACAACCTGAGCAACCAGCTCTGAATTATCAACAATCACATAAGCACAGATAATTATTTACTGCATGACTCACAAGGGTCTGATAAAAATAGATCTCCGGCGGTGACAGAAACAGTATCAATAATTCATCAGTCCACTATGGCAAACCAAATCATTTCAGGTCGGCCAAAATAAATCTCTATAAAACTTTACAAATATGTATACAATTAAATATACACATTTATATCAAAAAATATTTATCATCTGAATAAACCACTGTCATGAAACTAAACAAGAAGCATTATGTAAAAAACTAAAAAGTCATAAAATGATATATTTCTAGTAAGGGCAGTGTCGCACACTGGGCTCTTCACACATAATTAGCCAGGCTTTAATCACACTCCTCAACGTTGGTCTCCAACATACACAAGTGTCCTCGTTTGAAGTAAATCACAGACATCGTAGTGAACAGTTCTAAAGCAGTTTCTTTTCCCGGCCACGAGCATCCCGATGGTCTCGGCTGATGACGTCACTGGACCACTTCAAAATAGTGTAATATGGCCATTATGTGCTGAGGCATGAACACATAACCGGTGTAGACCGCCATCGCTGCCACCGTGATCAGGAGAGAATCTGACAGGCTTATTAAGGAAATTATTTTGCAGAAGGAAACAGGTTTTTATAGTATGCTAAAATCTTAAAAAACTTTTTTTTTACTTGAAATAAAATTTGTAAAAAAAAAAAAAAAAAACATGGAACTTTTATTTAGTTTAACTAAAACTGAAATAAAAATGTATTCAAACTATATAGACTTAAAAAACTTTTTTTTTACTTGAAATAAAATTTGTAAAAAAAAAAAAAAAAACATGGAACTTTTATTTAGTTTAACTAAAACTGAAATAAAAATGTATTCAAACTATATAGACATATAATAAAAAAAACCAATACAAATGACAAAAAAAAAAAAAAAAAGTTAACTTTCAAATGAAAATAAAACCAGAAAATATAAAAATAAAATGCAATTTAGAAAATTCATAAAGTATAATAGTATCTCAGTGATACTTGAATAACACTGAAAGAAAACCATGACTGACATCTAGTGAATAGTTGTGGGATTTCGCTTCAAAAAAGATCAATGAGATTATTTAAATAGCATTTAAATCTAATGTTAATGAGAGACAGAATTTAGCTTAGGAATTGTATTTTTATCATCAGCAGACTAATAACAAAAATATATTTTTTAAAATACTGTATGTGTTAAACATTGATTATTTATGGCTCTAAATACAGTGTTGGGGGTAACTCCTTACAAGTAACGCGAGTTACGTAATCAGATTACTTTTTTCAAGTAACTAGTAAAGTAATGCATTACTTTTTTAATTTACAAGAAAATATCTGAGTTACTTTAAAAAAAAAAAGTAACGCCAGTTACTTTGTTTTCCCATTTATTGACTGACAGCCCTCCTGTCCCCATATTGGGAGAAATCGGATTGTGTGCGCTGTGTGAACATGATGTTACTGTAGTTCCAGACTAAATGTGAATGTGCATTAATTCATCCCACTCACAAAAAACAGATTTAGTATTCATCAAAATGAATTAAAACAGTGAAATGCAAACTCAGAATATGACGCAAACCTGCAATAATTAAATCTGTTAAATAACACAAATGTATCTAATCCCATTTTATTAACCAGTATCTTTGCTGCTGACCTTTGCTGATCCAGTTCAACCATACTAATAAGCAAACATGACTTTAGAGAAACTAACAATTGTGCTTCATTGTTTTTTTTATAGCTGAAGAGTGTTTCTTCTCCTGCGTTCTACTGTACAGACCTGAATTCACTTTTGCTTCAGCCTGAGGTTTATTCAGTACACTTTTTGCTGTGAAAGGGCTTTTATATTTGCTATAAATAGAACTTCTTATATTAAAAACAATCAAGCCCTGCTCATATTTAAAAAGGTAACGCGAAAGTAACGCAAAAGTAACGCAACGCATTACTTTCCATAAAAAGTAACTACGTAACGTAATTAGTTACTTTTTTAGGGAGTAACGCAATATTGTAATGCATTACTTTTAAAAGTAACTTTCCCCAACACGGTATATGTATACGAATGAAAAAAAAAAACGTTACAAAGATGACCAATATTCAAACATGGCACTAAAACAAGTCAGCTGACATGACTTTGTTTGACCTCAGTAAAACATGTTCCTCGCTACAGAGAGAGTGACTGAAGCAAGTGCGACTGGTTCCAGTGAAATGAAAGCTCACACGTTCCCACAACCGTCTTCCTAGAAGACACCTGAAAATCAGCTCGTGTCAAATACTGAAATGTTAAGCGTCACACCCACCAGAAGCACGTTACATGACTAATTCAGTTCAATTCTTCTGAAGTTACATAGAGGCACTCATACAAACACAACTCTGAAGAGCAACTCATACGAATCAACAGTTGCAGAATTAGATCAAATAGATTCACGAAAACAGCCATCTACAGTCAATGCTGGTTGAAAAAAAACATGAATTCGCTGAGCTACAGACATTTAAATATATTATAAAAATATTTCGCTAATCGTACGATACAGGTAAGTGCACGGCACACTTGAACAGGAAGGCTAAGGAAACAACCTGATACCTGATATTAGGAACTCTTCCCAAATGTTGTTTCTTAACACATAAAAAGCACTGTATTTTATGAGAGAGAAAAAAAGGATACTGAAGATAGTTCTCTCCCAAGGCTCCAACATATACAGAGCTGTTACGAGCAGATATTGGTAATAAAACCAAGATAATTGTTTCCAGGCATCTCCTAACGCCATATTTTCTCTCGGCCCGTGTTCACCGTCACCGCTCCCTTTCCGGTCCAGATCATAACAAACTAAAAGTCGTGTGCTAGACCGGAAATGTATTTAAAATATTTATATATATATTAGTATTATTATAAAACAAATTAAATATAAGGGGTTAATCAATTTATTTTAGAGAGTCAAGGCATTTATTTTTTTGCATTTTCAAATGCCACAAAACTTGTTTAAATAAAACTTGCCAATAATCAAAATACTTTTACACAAAAATTCAACACCTTTTTTTTTTTTTTGCATAAAAAAAACAAACTTAATGTGATTATTAAAATCAGGCATTACACTGTCTGCAAATAACAATTCATACATTCTGACCCAAAAGCACTTAACAATAATTTAATTACCACATGGATAAATGTCATCAATTGTTTTAAACTGAACTTTATGTAATTCTGTCTTTAATAGTTTCCATTTTTGAAAACCTTTGAAATAAAATATTTCTTTTACGAGGAGTAGAAAAACATTGATCTCAAAACGTAACCATATTAACAACTGTTACTCTTGACGTACAATATGCAAAGAAATAATAACACATTTGTGCTTTTCGATTAATTACCAGCTGTATCATCTTCATCTTCATCTGAGTCAAAGTAAATGCTGTCATACACCTGAGTCTGTGGCTTGTCTGCTGTGGAAGTGCTGTCACTGGTCCCAGATGCTTGACCTGTAAATGAAATGTTGAATTCAAATTTGAGTTCATTTACTGTTATAGTTACATTTGAAATGTGTGCATGTGACACCTTGAGCTGAAGATGCCGTCCAGCTGCACTCCAGGCCCTTCATGGTGCTGCTGAGCTCTGCCTCCATCTCCTTCTCAAACTCATCTCCGCTGGAGGACTCGCTCTCCCCCGTCAGATACTCTCTGATCAGCTTCTTCTTCTGCTCCGGGGTCCCGTTCAGAAGAATATCCTTTTTTTTTTACTTCAAAATAAAGCTGTCAAAATAAAAGCCACTAAAAAAAAAACCTTAATTAAATCAAATCACCATGATTGCGGTTACAACTTGTGTAAATGTATTTTCATGTCATTTTTACATTTAATAAATAATCAAAGACTATTTGAAGGTCTCCCGAACTATAAGTGGCAGCTGGATTGTATTAAAGAAATCTCATTGTGTAAGAAAAACAATATTTGGCCAGTAAGCGAACACTGCCTTTATTTAATGTGTCCATTAATTCAAACCATCAGTTGACATTAAAAAAAAATCTCACTTAAAGTAAACAGCATCATTTATTTTTTGTTATTTCATGGTCATTTTATCATTGTTATCAGCGTTTATCTCAGCATTCCTCCGTCTGAATAAATGGAAGCTTTGGTCACATATTGTGAAAAAGAAAACAACATTCATATAGTGCACTTCAAAAAAGTCTGGAGAAAAAAATGCATCCATGTATGAAGTTTTTTTTTTTTTTACAATGTCATGAATCTACATTTTAAGGCAAACATACTGAAGCATTATTTGTTAGGAATGAAAAAAAGGAATACACAGCTTTGCAGAAAATGAGTCCGATTACGACGAACCATAGCTATACGATGAAAACTAACACATGTACAAGGCTTTGAGTGACCATACACTTTAATTGTAATAACAATCAGCTCAACTTGAACAAGATATCTGAGCAGCATCCACACACAGATCACCAAAACTAACTTCGAAGATTACAACAGGGAAAACAAAACCAAGCGAAACAGAAAAACGAAACAAACGGGACAAAAACTGCCGAGACGAGAATGATGTAGCGAATCCCATGGAAAACAACTGACAAGTTAAAAATGTGTGATTAAATGAAGTCGTATATCTTGTGCGGTGTGGATCAGGTGATCTTCCACAGTGGACTGCCTCACTTTAGGGGGGGTTGTGGAGGGAGTATGGTGTCTCTGGTAGTGGTAAGTACAGACGTCTCTTTAGACAAACTGACCCCAGGTATGTTCTCTCCTCCATCTTCCGAATGAAGACGAGACCAAAGCAGGGAAAGCCCTATATGGAGAACCTGGATCGAGGACCTAAGTGTCCCCTTTCAGGACCCCCAGACAGCTCTGCAGCAACTGTAGATTCCCCTGGAGAGAGATCAGGGCATATCTTGAATAAACAATACATGGGTTGGACATCACTGAAGAGTCACAGTATGAAGTGAATGAAAACCTTGGCATGTTTGAGTTCCAGCTCAGCCAGCTCCACCAAGTTCTTTCTGAACGCTGCTACTCGCCGTGTCTTGAAATCGATCAGTTCTAAATGGAAAACAAGCATTAATATTTAGTGAGCAAAACAGCTGTTTAGCAGATGCTTTTATCCAAAGTGACTCCCAAGAGCTATCTGAGGTTAAAAGCAATATGCCACATAACAATTTAACATCGAGTTAATTTTCAAAAACACATTTCCATATAACACCTTGTCCAAACAAAATTCTCAGTTCAGATTGAAAGCAAAAGTAGGGATGCACAATTTGGGGGGAAAAACTTCAAAAGAAACTTTTTTCTTTTTAAAGGGGTCATATGATGTTGCTAAAAAGAATATTATTTTGTGTGTTTGGTGTAATGAAATGTGTTTATGTGGTTTAAGTTTCAAAAAACACATTATTTTCCCCATACTGTACATTATTGTTTCTCCTCTATGCCCCGCCTTTTTGAAATGCGTCGATTTTTACAAAGCTCATCGGTCTGAAAAGCGAGGTGTGCTCTGATTGGCCAGCTATCCAGTGCGTTGTGATTGGCCGAATTCCTCAAGCGTGTGACGGAAATGTTACGTTCCTTAACATACTGTGATGCCTGCGGCAACCCCATGTGACGACCCCGGGCTGGACTCCGCTTCGTCCACGGTGAAAGCCGATCCGGCGATCCACAGCGTGAAGTTGAAGTATTTCCTCAGCAACCAGCACAGATCAGCTCTAGGCATGACGAAGCGGATATCGTCCTCTTTTGGAAGGCCAAACAAAGTAGTTTCACTTTCACAACGAAGCACACAGCGTCTTCAGGACATGGCAGCGGCGGCAACAACAATACTACAGCAAGAATAAAAGTTACGCCTTCTTTCTTTGCGTGAACATTTGGGCGCCGTTATGCAAATCTTCCCACATCGTGACGTAGACATGTGGGGGCGTGTTAGAACGAGCCATTTTAGGTAGGTGTGGTGGACTCTTAACTTTTATAAAGAATATCTCTTTGGATTTGAGACTTTAGTCTTTGCAACTTTACAGATCTTCTTTATGCACCAAGAGCTTGTAACACTCCAAAGAGAAAGGAAAAATTGAAAATCGCATCATATGACCCCTTTAAAAAAAAATAAAAAATCAGATTGTGAAAAAAAAAACAAGTCCCTACTTGCTGCACAATTTGGCCCAACATTTTGTGATTAAATAATCAACGTGGCAATAAAAAAAAATATATATTATTTATTAATAATGATTATTATTTATTAGGATTATTACTAAATAACATTAAACAAAGAAATATTCCTGTTGTAATACATTTCCGTAAAATAAAAAATAATAATAACAACAACAATATACAGTATAACATTATACAGTATTATTATACAAATAATTTTCAAATGTTCAACCATCAAGCAGAAAACCTCAAGGAGCTGTTAAAGTCAGTACGAAATGAAAATTCTTCTGTTTTTCTAAATGCATGTCATAGATCTAAACTAACAATTCATCCATGCATGCGTTTCATTAAAAAAAAAAAATTCCGACCTTGTAATGTTTAATCAAAATGGTCTAACTAGATATTCCAGTTAAAATGACAGACTTCTCTCTGGTGACGTATTTAGTCTGCTTAAACCCACTCCTGGAAGCTCACACTTCACTCTAAAATATGCTTTGCATATATTTATTTAATTAAATCATTGCCTTTCATAATAGCGCTAGTAGCAATTGATAGTAGTGATTTGATAAGCAATATCACAATTTAGGTTTATTTCAGTTTTATTTTGATTATTCAGCCCTAGTGTGAAATGACACAATCAGAACCAATCAGATCTGTGGAGTCGGATTTTGGACCAATGACATAACAGTGGGTGGAGCCAACTAGTGTGACACCTATTAAAACCAAGCAATCAACAAATGGCAATTGGCTGTGCCAGTTTACAAGGAAGAGCAACTTTTACTACGTTGCGTCTGATTGGGGAACGATGTAAAATCAAGTAGTTTTTGCACTGAATCCACTGTTTGAATAATATATATACGAATTACCTTGTTTTGCAGATTCAGAGATTTTCTCAAACTTCTGACAGCACACTTGCTGCGTGGTTTCTGCTTGTAGGACGTCTTTGTTTTTAGCTCGGGCTTTGTCCAGAGCTTTATTAGCGTTCTCATAATCAACTAATGCTCTTCCTCGTCTGTACAGGAGGTCCTGTGGAAGAGATGATGGAGTTTACAAAGAAAGAAAACACAGTCTAAAAGTGTTTTAAACGGGGTCAAGAAGCAGTAACTATGAACAGCAGAAGATCAATCCTCTGCAACAAACAGTCAATTTTGTATTAAACTGAATCTTATACTCCAAGAGGTCACTGTTCCACTGTTTTGCCTTGGACAGTCAGGTCAGAATCACTTCTGTAGCTTAATTACATTGTATCCCAGGGCTACAGCAACAAATCACTCACTAACGTCGGAAGGAAAGCCCTCTAATGACCAGCTGCCAGTTCAACATGCTGACCACACATCTCTACCTTAGCGGCTTGCGACTCTCTGAGGTAGTACTTCAACAAGTCGGCAAGTTTCAAATCCTCATCGGCCGCCACGCGCGCTTCAATTTTCTGGGAGTTTGGGAACAACAGAGGAAGAGGTGAGTGACTTTATAGCCCCTAACTCTCTGATTCATCAAATTCTGCCTTCTCTTTTGAGAAAAACTGCTGAGGTTAGACATAACAAATGACCAAATTAAATTCTCTTCACCTTAGAGAGTAAGGTAGTCACAAAAAACTGTAATTTTATACACTTTTTAAATGAGAAATTATAAGAAAAATGTATTCTTTAAAAATAAAAATAAAAATTATATATATATATATATATATATATATATATATATATATATATATATATATATATATATATATATATATATATATATATATATATATATATATATATATATATATATATATATATATATATATATATATATATATATATATATATATATATATATATATATATATATATATATATATATATATATATATATATATATATATATATATATATATATATATATATATAATTAAAAACAAATGAACAAGACCTTTTGTATGAACAAAATTATTAGTGATTAGTGACCTAGTAATAGTGCAGAATCATAAATGATTTGGTGACAGGTCTCATTTGTCAATATTAACTACAGTGTTGTTATCATTAACCAATACCATTAAAAATTATTTTCAGTAATTAAACGAAACCTAAATATTAAACGAAAATGAGAAAAACTGAAATAGAAATAAAGCTAAATATAAATATAAAAAAATTAATAAAAATGACTAAAGCACATAACAAAAACTAAATATAAAATAAAAATAAAAGCTAATTAAAATAGCAATAAAAATATAAATACTATATAGTATGTAAATAATACTAAAATATCACCAGTTAATAACTATGAATAATACTGCTACAGCATTTATTAATCTAGTTCATATTAATTTCAGCATGTATGAATACATTTTTTAAATCAAAATTGTATTGGTTCACATTTTGTGAGACACTGCACTGTGAACTGACACGAACAAACAATAAATAATAATTTTTATTAACTAACATTAACAAAGATCATAGTTAAACTATATTTTATTATTAACTGTAACGAATACTTCTTATTCATATTATGTCATAACGTTGTAAATGTTATATGGTTTTAAAAATTAAGGATTAAACTTAGGACAACACTAAATTATTAAAAATGTATCTATATTAAA